CGGCCTTCACACTGCTCTGCACTTAAACCCACTCCGACCTCCACTAAGGGACAGACGTAGCTTCTCCAGAGTGAATCGTCTGACACATGAAACCTAAACCAGATCAGGTTCCTCGTCTGTGTTAATAAAATCCAAAAGCCTTGTCAGCATCTGCAGGATCCCATAAGCCACGGTCCCTGACTACCTTGAGTTTCTTTCTTTCACAATACTGTTCACCATCTGAAATTACCATCTCTGTGCACTTGGGCATTGTCCGTCTCCTCCTTGGGCATTGTCCGTCTCCTCTCACAAGTGCCCAGCACAGCACCTGACATGTGGTGGGTGCTCCAGACATCTGGTGTGCACGGAGTAAAAATGAAGGTAATATCCCTAGAGGAGACCCCACTCCTTTGCCTCTTAACGTCTCCTGCCTGCAATGTTGTGATCACGGTATGATCAAGTCCCTCACCAAGAATATCAGGGTAGCATACAGAGCAGTGAAGAGGAAAACCATCAGCTTTGGAGAAATATAAGTTTTAAATCCTTACAATTAGTCGGATTCAACCACAATTTATAAACAAATGGATGGTTACCAGCTAAACAGACATTTAGTAAGAAGACCACAGGCTTCTCTCAGAAAACCCGACAAGGTAACCTTAGACAAGTCACTTAATCTCTCTCGACAGCTCTTGTAAAAAATCCTCCACTCTTGGAGGCCACGACTCTAGACATCACATCCATGTTAGTTTTATACATTAGCCTTCTTACTTAGAAATTAATTGGAGTGCGGTTCGAATTGAGCACATTCCCCCAAGGGCTTAAGCACTTGTTGAGAAACTAAAACAAAATCAGTGATGAGGCTAAAAAGCCTAACAATCATTCTGGCCTATTACAGAGGTAAGTTCTGTATCTGAAAGACCTATCTGCATGCCATGGCAAACATTTATTTACCAAACATTTGCTCTTCCCATCTTCTATAAGTTGTCTTCCTTCCCGTTGAAGTCCCAGATCCTGGCCCCCGGCCCCCTTCCCCTTAGCTCAGGATGACATATATAAACCTCGATTACCTGACTGCTGGGGATTCTTATTTTTATGGGGCTCCTGTATGTACGAAATTTGTTGTGCTTCTGTTATTCTGTCTTACGGAAGTTCAAATATTCAACCAGCCAAAAAACTAGAAAACTAGAAAACTGCTCTGTGAAGTGTGTAACACAAGGGTTCGGGGAACCCACTTTGGTCTATAGAGGGGAGCTACAGAAATCACGGAGAGGAGGATAAAGGCTCCAGGGGATGGAAAAGCCAGGTAGCCAGCCATTCCCCTGAATGATGTGAGTGCTGCCAAGTTAGCAAAAGGCAGGTGGAAATGCAGAGAACAGAGGATCCCATGGGTGCTGCATGTCCTGGAGACCTAAGCTGATCGTGCGCTTGTCCGCAGAGTGGCCACACTCTCCCAACCATGGTAGGAGATAAAAGGGCCCTATCATGATTCAGAACGCTCCTTTTCTCTCTTCCCTTGGCGAACAGAAGATTCTTTGGGGTATTAGAAGTAAAACATAAGAGAAAAAAATTCATTTAAAATTGTTGGTGATCACCATCTATCCCTCACATGGGTTAAAGGTTAGAGATAAGAACTCAACTCTCAAAAACACTGTGTAATACTCCAAACCACTACTGTAGAGATTTACTAGTTTTTATACTTTCCAAGTGTTACACTTTCCAAGATCTCAGACCAGAAAAGAGAGAAGCCAAGATTCAAGCCATGTCTGTTTGACTCCAAAACCCTCCCAACAACCCTGTTGGGAAGGTATCATCATCCCCATTTTACAGATGAGGTCACTGAGGCACAGAGAGCTTATGTGACTTATTACACAATTCGTAAGTGTTAGAGCCATAATTCCAAGCCAGTCGCTCTGGCTCTAGTCTGCTGTTAAACCCTGCCATATTGTATAAGGGCCCAAAATATTCTGGGGCCTATGGGAAAGTGGATTGAAAAGCTTGGCTTTGATGGAAAAACTAAAGTAACTGGGAAAATGCATATCCTAGAAAGGATTTTATTTCTAAGAAATGGAGCAAAAATGTACAGATCTGTTTGTTTGGAGGCAGCAAAGTGCCAAAGTTATGCAATGACCTTGCCCGTGGGTGAGCAGCCCGGCTAAATCCTCACCAATAAATCCTGTGCATGTGTGTCCGAAACATAGTCTGTTTATATTAAAACACATGTGCAGGGGCGCCTGGGTGGTTCAGTTGGTTAAGTGTCTAACTTGGGCTCAGGTCATGATCTTGGGGTCCTGGGATGGAGTCCCACCTTGTGCTTCCCACTCAGCAGGGAGTCTGCTTCTCCCTCTCCTTCTGCCCCTCCCCCTGCTTGTGCTTTCTTTCTCTCAAATAAATAAATAAAATGTTAAAAAAAAAAAAAAACATACAGGGCATCTGGGTGGCTCAGTTGGTTAAGCGACTGCCTTCGGCTCAGGTCATGATCCTCGAGTCCCGGGATCGAGTCCCGCATCGGGCTCCCTGCTCAGCGGGGAGTCTGCTTCCCCCTCTGACCCTCCTCCCTCTCATGTGCTCTATCTCTCATTCTCTCTCTCTCAAATAAATAAATAAAATCTTTAAAAAAATGTACAAACTGGAAGAAGTTATGAAAAATATGGCACACAATGGGAAACTAAAAACAAGGAAAAAAGCAAGTTATGTAATTCACATAGAGTAAGGAATATAAAAATAACTATTTATCTGTGGTAAAAAATACATACAAACTTTAAAAAATCTTTTAAAAGTTCGAAATGCAACCTTGAATTAACATCTATTTTTAAAAAGTTTTGTTGTGTTCTCTTTCATTTTTTTGTTTGTTTTTAAACTTAAAACACATGATTACTTCGTCAGGTTTCAATTTTTCCCATGGAAAGCCAAATGCCAACCAAATATACATCATTCTAAACTCAAAATTCATAGATTTAGAGAGTAAATATTCAATTCTGTGGAATTGGGTATATGGAGTAACTTTTTTATAATAGTTTATAAAGTCCCATGTGGTCTATGAATGGTTTGAACTGTGACACCAACCCTACAAGCCGCTTCCAGGGACAAGGCAAAGAATTTTAAATCTTTCAAAAGAAAGTGTGTCATAGGAACAGATAACTTTCTAGAACATTCATTTTAGAAAACATGGAGATGGCGTACTTCAAACATAACTGTACTGAGCATCTTCCAGTTGGCCCTCCAGAATTAGCTCTACCTTCTCCCCCCGGCCCTAGGCCATATGGGGCTCCCCTGTATGGATCCCACCAATGGATTACCTGGACCCCCACCTCTGGTTGGGGTCAGCCAGTGAAAACCACCTGTAGGAGATGGGAGGAAGGAGAGATGGGTGTTGTGAGTGTTTACTACCCAGTCTCCCCTCCAGGGGTCCCCACAGGCTGCTTGCACCCCTCTCTCAAAGCCTCGGCACCTGCTGGAGATCCCTTTCCATGCAGCTCTGTTAACTGCTTTCCTTGCCCCATCAGGCTTATGGGGGATAAGCTGCCCCGCTGACCAGGCCTGGGGGGAGGCACAATTTCTTGGGGTTTCTGTACCTTGAACTCAGTTTGCAAGTAGCTTCTTTAGGAAACATGCCTCCTATTGCCCAATGTGAGGGGGGTGTCACCTGTCCTGACCTTGGCTGAACAGTGACAGTAACCCACTGTGGTGACTGCACAGCACAAAGTGCATGGATGCTCACCATAGCCCAAAGAGTTGGTGTAAGCAGGCTGATCGCCAGGTTTTCAGCTGACGGGAGGGGCCTTCCCCACCCAGGCAACTGCTGGGCCTCCTTCCTCAGAAATCTTTCCCAATCTCCATGGCATTTAACTACTCACTGTCCCCCTGGATCTTTACTCTGGTGGCTGTCCTACTCTTTGCCAACGTGGCCCGAAGTGACCTGTTCCATGTCCTTGCCCTCTGGCCAACTTCTGGTCAAGGAGTCAGCACAAGGGGAATAAGACACGTGCTTCTGACACACACCACGGGCCGAGTGCCCTGCTGCTTCTGCCCCCTCTCTGCACCGGGCAGATCTTTACACTCACCTGTTCAGACAGCCTCTCCTAATGACACAGATCCGTTTTCAACACACTTTGTTGCCTGTTTATTTTTCCCCAATTTTTATTATAAAAATATTCAAACAACAAAAATAAAAAGTGTGTTGGTCGATTATCTTTATAACCAGCACCTAGATTCAATACCTGAGCACAATTTACCACTTTTGTGTATATGTCTATATGCATATACATTTTTTGCTAAGCCATTTAAAAGTAGATTGCAGACATCATGAGGCTTGAACCCCTAAATATTTCAGTATCTAACTCCTAAGAATAAGAGAATTTTCCACATAATCTCAACATTATCAAACGTAAAAAAAAAAGAAGAAGAAGAAAGAAAGAAAAGAAAAACTAACTCATAAAATAATGTAATATCTGGTCTGTATTCAAGTTTCCCCACTTGTCTCCAAAATGGCCTTTATAGCTTTATCTATAGAGCCAGGATCCAATCAACACGTCTTGTTCAGTGCTCTCTTACTTGAGTCTCTTTCAATCTTGAACACTCCTCCACGGTTTTGTTATGACTGATTTTGTGAGAAACCAAACTAATTGTGTTATATAATGTCCCACGTTCTGGTTTGATGTTTTCGCCTTGTGATGGTATTTAACTGGCTCCTTTATCCCCTGTACTCTCCTGAGGCATGATTAGGATCGTACAGCTTTGTCAGAGGTGATGCTCTATATTTATCATGCACGAGGGAAGGCACACAGTGATCGGTTACTTTTAGTCCTACTAAATTAGACACTCAGCTAACACGCAGTCATGGGGGGTGGGGAAGCAGTGCTCCACTGTAAAGATATTTTTTCCCTTTGCAAATAACGTTGTTTGGAGATACTTTACACCATTTGAATCTAGTGTTCTCCAGCTTTTTTCCAAAAGATTTTAGCATTGATAATCTTTGACCATCTCGTCAAAAATGGATTTGACATAAGACAAAAATTCTGTGCAACAAATGCATTCAACACCGCATATGCTAAGGTTTATGCTCATTACTGTTTTTATCCTAGAGCTAACAGATCTGACTCGGCAGAACATAATACAGCTGGGAGAACCCACCACACACAAACACACACACACACACACACACACACAAATGTATATTCAAAAAATAAAAACTGTAACCCTAGAGAAAACATTCTCGTATACTTTGCTAAACTTTAGTACAGCCACCTTAAAGAGGGAGTGTGGCAGTTAGATCTGCAGGGTCTGGAGGCAGCCCAAAAGATTCCTAATCTACCAACCTGTCTAACCCACCGTTTCACTACCTGCTCGATCACCAAATTTAACCGCTTCCCGCCTGTCGATCCTGAAAGTGTTCGATGCTCATTCGCGGCAGCTGCTATGAACACCTCACAGCATTAGGAGAAAGTTGTGCCCATGAATTTTCAACGTTTGTACCAAACCCCCACCCCCCCAGAGCAGCACCCAGGGGCAAGTGAGAGCTCCTTAGTAGAAAGAGCAGGTGGCCCTGAGAAGGGCCTTTGGTTGAGACTCGCGGTGTTCCGGGGGGGAGATGGGAACGCTCAGCCCCCGAAGCCGTAGAGGGTGCGGCCCTGGCGCTTGAGCGCGTAGACCACGTCCATGGCCGTGACCGTCTTGCGCTTGGCGTGCTCCGTGTAGGTGACGGCGTCCCGGATCACGTTCTCCAGGAACACCTTGAGCACCCCGCGGGTCTCCTCGTAGATGAGGCCGGAGATGCGCTTGGCGCCGCCCTTGCCCAGGCCCTTCCCGCCCTTGCCGCGGCCGGACGCAGTGAGTAGTCGCTGCGAATGACAGTAGAAGGAGCTTCATACCAGCCCCCGGCAGCCCCTTTTGTAACAATTGTGCAGAACTTTGTGAAAACGAAAACACCGGAAAAGTTAGGAAATCGCTCCAAGTCCTCGCGCCCTTGCTTCTAAGGCCTAAAGTAGACACGGGGTAGGGAGATTTACTGGTATTTAGAAAATAAGAACCTCTAAACACAAGTTTCAGACATGTACACAAAAGAAATGACCTCCTTCATATATAGGTACATGTGTTTAAAGATTTACTTTTCCATATATATTCTTGGATCTTTTGCTACACTGGAATTTAAACAAGCCCAAAGCCCAAGAAACAAAGGAATTAGTCAACATATTGTGGAGCAACCAGGCCAGGCTTCAGGTTTGGGATCGGGGAGTGGCACCTTTCAAACTGTAACATTGAACTTGTCTGTGGATCTACTTGAGTTTCGATGGACTTGCAGTAAGAAGGAAGCGTAGTTGTTGGCAAGTGAATTATTATAAGCAAAATGACTGGCATCTAGTTTGTGAACAATAAATTCATATCGCCCAGGAATTCTGTTCTTAAAAACAAAGTATTTAGAAGACTGAAGAACATGGAAGGATTTCAAAACATTTTTTTTTTAAGGTTTTATTTATTTTTTAGAGAGCGAGCGAGAGGGAAACAGCATGAGAGGGGAGAGGGTCAGAGGGAGAAGCAGGCTCCCCGCTGAGTCAGGAGCCTGATGTGGGACTCGATCCCAGGACCCTGGGATCATGACCTGAGCCAAAGGCAGACGCTTAACCATCTGAGCCACCCAGGCGCCCCAAAACATTTCTAATATAACACTAGTATGTACAATGTGCTTTATCCATACAAATTAAGTATATATATTTCAACAATGAAGGGTTGCAGAGGAAAAGAATGTAAATTGTCAGAGGCTAAGGCCCTGTTTTTCTCATATGGAGGACAAAAGGTGGAGAGCCTTTTTCTGGGCTTAGTGCGTGAAACACAAGCAAAGCTGTCATGAACTCTAATGAAAAATATGCGTTGAGCTAGTTACATGGAAGTTTAGCTTTAAGAAAATATAAATGATTGGGGCGCCTGGATGGCTCTGTCGTTAAGCGCCTGCCTTCGGCTCAGGTCATGGTCCCAGGGTCCTGGGATCGAGCCCCGCATCGGGCTCCCTGCTCCGCGGGAAGCCTGCTTCTCCCTCTCCCACTCCCCCTGCTTGTGTCGTCTCTCTGTCAAATAAATAAATAAAATCTTAAAAAAAAAAAAAAGAAAGAAAATATAAATGATGTCCTTAGAATAAATAGAATTTTCAAGTAAGAAGTGATTTTTATTGCATACTTATGATGTACCAAGTAAAGTGTTCTAAAAGAGCATGGATGAGCTCGGCCAAGTATACCGCATCAGAAAATTTGAGATTAGGAATATCAAATTCTGAAATTCAATTTACTTTTGAGGCAGGGGCAGCAAGATGTAAAACATCACGTACCAACATGAATGAACCAAACATCGGCCCGATGGACATGTCACCACTAGAACAGCCAGAAGAAAGCAAAAAACTGCTGTTTGTGAAAAAAAAAAAAAATCACATTGTTTTCATAAACAAACCATGGAATCCCAAGCAATGCAAAGTAGCAATTGTTAAAGAATTGTCCAGCAGCTTTTTTTTTTATCTTGTTATTTTGCAACAGTAGTTGCAAAGTTTACCTTGTTGTTAAGTTGCAACAGTAGTTCGCAGAGCCCCTTGAACCAATTTCCTCTAATGGTCGCATCCCACATAATCAGTGTATCTTGCAATATCAAAGCCAGGTAATTGATATTGGCAAAATACTGTTACCTAGACTACAGGCCTTTTCAACTCTTACCGGTCTTACCATGCAATCATTTGTCTTTGTGTGTGTGTAGCCCTGTGCAATTTTACCCCATGTATATAGATGCACATAAATACCACTGCGGTGCTGATACAAAATGTTTCCAACATCACCAAGGAACTCCTTGTTACCTCTTTATATTACATCCATACACGTCTTCCCTGTCCTGTGGCAATCATTAATCTGTTATCCATCTCTGGTTTTTGTCATTTTGAGAATGTTATCTAAATGAATAATGTAATATGTAACCTTTTGAAAATGACTTTGAGGGAGAGCAATATATGTGACCCCAAAATGTGCTGCTTTGGCACTTGGGTTATTTTGAACTGAAGGCAATCAAGACCCAGCAAACTCAAGAAAAACTTTTACCTCTCCCTTAACTACCTAAAAAATTTTAGATAGGGGCCCTGGCCCAGAAAGAGAGCTATTACCAGAGATAATTTTTATCTGAAAGACCTATCTGTAGGTTGCCCTCTCTCCCTTTGAAGCTCCAGGTCCCTACCCCATTCTTTAGCTCAGGGGGGCATATAAATATCTACCGACAGACTTATCCTTGGGTCTCATATTCTTATGGGGCTCCAGTACACACATAATTAAAATTTTCTCCTGTTAATCTGTTTTTATATCAATTTACAGCCAAAGAACCTACAAGGGAAAACTTTTCCTCCCCAATAGTTGTTTGTTTGTTTTTTTTCACTAAGCATGATGCCCTGGAGATCCATCCCAGTTGTTGTGTGTATCACTAGCCTCCCTTTTGTTGCTGAGTAGGCTTTCGTGCATGGATGCATGAAAATGTATTTAACCATCCACCCATTGAAAGATATTAAGTTGTTTCTAATTTAGGGCTTTTGCAAATAAAGCTGTTATGACCTTTCATGTACAATATTTTTGTTTTGTGTCCCCACCCACCCCATCCTTGCCAGTTTTGTTTTGTGTTTCCTGAATTCCACCTCAAAATTACATTTTGTAAGATACAAAAGTACTGCTGTGATGACTGGGAGCCTTATAACTCTTTCAGTAGTCTCAAAGAAATCACATGGTGTTGCTATTATCATGTGCAAGTTTGCTTCATAGTTCCAAAATATTGCATCAAGCGACATTTTCAATTGTTTCTGAAATCTGACTTCTGGGTTCTGTAGCTAAGGATTTATCTCACCAAGAGCCCCCCATGTTTGTTGAATAAACTGCTGGTATGCCCGTCCTGTGGTTCCTGCCATGGGACTTGTGTTTTCACTGAAGTGCAGAGCTGTTCACTTAGTTCCCGAAAAGCCCCCAGTGTTTAGTAATCCCCACAGCGAGGGATAAACCCTGGGAGGAGGCTAGGAGTTCCCACAACCAATGTCTGTGAAACCTGACTGATGGACAAATCCTCCATGGCTCTAGGGTTTGTCAGAGGATTCTGAATTTGTTGGAGGAAACGCTGGGAGCTGTTGCCTCCTTGGTTCTCTGAGGATTAATAATGGGTTACGCACCACCCCCTGTGCAAGGGCTGGGTTCTGCCTACTGACTAACGACGTCATGTTTCTCACACAAGGACAGTGCAGACACATTCTGCACAATCTTGACTTTTTAGTTCTGAGCTGCCGCAAGCTCCGAATTCCTGGTGTGAATATACTCAGCTATTACTCGAGGCCCCACGTCTGGGGGCGCTGCCCTGCCCAGCTGTACCAGACAGGCTGCTGCTACTAGGCTCCAAGCTGGGTCTCAAATTCTGCGAACCCACGCTTGAGGCACCAGACCTATTTCCAGCGCAGAAAAGGAGTAGTTACTGCAGGACGTATTGCTCAGTCAAGAAAGAAGTGGATGGCCGCCAAACTGCTCTCATGCACCACTCCGTGTGGGTTCTTGAACACCAGCGTGCGCAGGCCCCACCAAACATGGTAAACCCCCTAGGATGCTTTCCAGGTTGCTCAAGGATCCGTCCTTTCTCCTATCAGAATGAAGTGTGGAAATCCATGCCTGGGGGCGCCTGGGTGGCTCAGATGGTTAAGCGTCTGCCTTCGGCTCAGGTCATGATCCCAGGATCCTGGGATCGAGTCCCACATCGGGCTCCCTGCTTGGCAGGAAGCCTGCTTCTCCCTCTCCCATTCCCCCTGCTTGTGTTCCCTCTCTCGCTGTGTCTCTCTCTGTCAAATAAATAAATAAAATCTTAAAAAAAAAAAAAAAAGAAAAGAAATCCATGCCTGGATTCCTGGCAAGTTGCAGTCTTAATTACGTATTAACATGGCTGTCTGGATGTATCATTAACTGCTGCCCTTATAGATAGGCCCTGGCTAGCTGCGGGTCAGGTTTGGACAGCATGCTCCGTAGATTTCCCAAACCGGGAGCCAGGGTTTTCAGGACTGGGTATTATAACTTGTCGCTATACTATTTTGTAGTTCAGCAGAAAGTACCCAAATCCACGGCGGTTTTATGAGCCACCTTAAATACACTCAGCCAAATGGACGGCTCCAGGAAAAAGCCAAGGCTTGTCTAACCCCCTCTGCTGGGGAACGCAGCGCAATCGGCCTGATTGACACTGGTTGTCAAGGGGAGGATCGCGAGGCTGGGCGAGTGTTCGGGCGGAGGCAGGAGTCGGGAGGTGCGCAGCCGGCGAACGCGCCCTGGCGCCACCCCTACCGGACGCTAGTGGGGGCAGGGGGGACTCGGGGAGTGGGAGATCCTGTTGTTGCGTACAGCCCTTCAAACAGACATTGTAGGTGGCTCTGAAAAGAGCCTTTGGGTTTAAAGTTGGCACGGAACCAGGAAATCCCATCTACGCCCGCTCCCCGCGGATGCGGCGCGCCAGCTGGATGTCCTTGGGCATGATGGTGACGCGCTTGGCGTGGATGGCGCACAGGTTGGTGTCCTCGAAGAGCCCCACCAGGTAGGCCTCGCACGCCTCCTGCAGGGCCATGACGGCCGAGCTCTGGAAGCGCAGGTCGGTCTTGAAGTCCTGCGCGATCTCGCGCACCAGCCGCTGGAACGGCAGCTTGCGGATCAGCAGCTCGGTGGACTTCTGGTAGCGCCGGATCTCGCGCAGGGCCACCGTGCCGGGCCGGTAGCGGTGCGGCTTCTTGACGCCGCCGGTGGCCGGCGCGCTCTTGCGGGCCGCCTTGGTGGCCAGCTGCTTGCGCGGGGCCTTGCCGCCCGTCGACTTGCGCGCCGTCTGCTTCGTGCGAGCCATCTCGAGCTTTTGCAAACACGGTTTACAACTGCAAGTGCCTTTGCGTCGGCTCGTATTTATAAAGGCAACGTCCTCCTGATTGGTCCGAATCTTCGAATTCCGCGCCGTGAATTAAGTGACTTGATGGGCCTTGTGATTGGCTACCAGGACTCACTTGAGAAAGTCTAGTGTTGAAAGACGGATCTTCTCACTTATAATTCTGCGTCCCTTACCCAGCCTGTATTTTGCTTTACAGTTCCTTAACTGCTTTTGTTTTTTTTGTTTTGTTTTTTTAAAGATTTTATTTATTTATTTATTTGAGAGAGAGAGAATGAGAGACAGAGAGCACGAGAGGGAAGAGGGCAGAGGGAGAAGCAGACCCCCTGCCGAGCAGGGAGCCCGATGCGGGACTCGATCCCGGGTCTCCAGGATCATGACCTGAGCCGAAGGCAGTCGCTTAACCAACTGAGCCACCCAGGCGCCCCTGGTTTTGTTTTAATCACCTTGTTTGGGGATTAAATTTGGGAAGAGATGAAAATGAAAACTGACAGTTCCTGAGTGGCTTCAGAAGCTCTATTCTTGGACGTGATTGACCCAGCCCAGTTTCGTCCTTGTTATCGTTTCTCAAAGCTTCTGACTTTGAAGAAACGTTTTATTTTAGCAATGGAAACACCCTATCCCATAACTCCGAACACATTAACAAACACAGACACCACTTCCAGACACTGTTTTTAGGGAACATAAAAACCGCACCGCTGTTTAAATGTGACGATCCTCTGACTCTGAAAGCTTAAATTTTGCCGACTTTGATCAAACTGGGAATGCCATGGCATAATTTGTGAAAACATTTAAATATTTAGCTAATTTTTGTGTTCTTTCCTTCATTTAGTATCCGGGTAACTGCAACTTGGCAGGCAAACAGGATCATAAATTTGTATCAGGCTTTTGTCTCTTCAGGTGGGGATCTAGGGAGCCGCAAGGCTCATAAATAGGTACTAGTGATAAGACATTAAACTTTTGCTGTTTTGAAAATACTTTTTTCTGATGGAAAAAAGAATCTAGACTTGCTGCCACATAAACAGCCAATCAAAAAGTGGATTTGAATTCTCCTGATTTGCATAAAATGTTTCTACTGGCTGATTTGCTCCAATCAGGCATTAAGACAGATTAAGCCGCTATTTGCATACAAGCCATATAAAAGTAGGCCAACCCCACGCTCAGCTTTCACTCCACTAGGTTTTGGTGTCAGAGCTTTACCATGCCCGAGCCCGCCAAGTCGGCCCCGGCGCCGAAGAAGGGGTCCAAGAAGGCGGTGACCAAGGCGCAGAAGAAGGACGGCAAGAAGCGCAAGCGCAGCCGCAAGGAGAGCTACTCGGTGTACGTGTACAAGGTGCTGAAGCAGGTGCACCCCGACACGGGCATCTCGTCCAAGGCCATGGGCATCATGAACTCGTTCGTCAACGACATCTTCGAGCGCATCGCGGGCGAGGCGTCCCGCCTGGCGCATTACAACAAGCGCTCGACCATCACGTCGCGGGAGATCCAGACGGCCGTGCGCCTGCTGCTGCCCGGGGAGCTGGCCAAGCACGCCGTGTCCGAGGGCACCAAGGCCGTCACCAAGTACACCAGCGCCAAGTGAGCTTGCCAAGTAAGCCCCTTGTGAGCCCAACCCCAAAGGCTCTTTTCAGAGCCACCCACTCTTTCACATAAAGAGCTTTAATACTGAACCTTTTCAAAATTAGGGAAAATCTGTGCCCGAGTTAGAATGCCCATCTCCTTCATCCTTACATTCCCATACTTGTTTTCTCAGTAGCCTGTTTTACTGGAACAGAGAAGACTAGCAAGTGCCGAGCAGGAAAACTTGTTCGAAAACTGGGAAGGCAGTTTTAGCTGCTGAACTTTCGGTTTAGGACTTCAGAAAATGAAATTTATCTGGGCCAGAACTTGCTCCAGGGCTTGTAGCTGAGAAATTTTGAGTTGTCCGGACGAGTTGAATACATCCTGGGCATCCTTTATAGATCAGCTTGTCTAGAGAGCGTACTGTGCTTGGTGGGTCTGTGTGAGACTTGTTTCAGTGGAAACCAATAGGATACTGTCTACCTGATAGCGTGAGAAACTAGTTTTCTAGTAAATGGAAGGGGTTGAGGGGGAGACTTGACTGAAAAGAAAGGATGTCTTTTGAAGAATAACTCACTCAACTGTAGCTATTCTTCTGCAAGTAACAGAGGCATTCAGGCTTCTTTGAAGAAAGGTTAAACAGGATTTAGAAGAGGAAGGAGAAGGGAAAAGCAGCAGCAAGCAGCCTGAGAGCAATGCCTCTCTTAGTTGGGGAAATGTCTTCAGTAGCCAACACAGAAGCCAGGCTTGGGTAGTCTTCCCTTAAGAGGCTTGCTAGGAATCATTTAACAGAATACAATGTCGGTTACAGATTTACAAAACACCTTGAGATTAATCTCAACCACAGTACTTCAGTTACTGTCCTCACTTTTGACAAGTCCACCCTTCTAGGCACTTCCCTGTTGGGTCATGGAGTGTGGGGCAGGGAGGGTGGTGGTTAGTGCAGAGTATTCTAGGATCATAGATCAAATTCTTCCCTAAATGACGTGTTGAGTGGAAGGACTAGGACTGAGTTTATTCGTTCACGTATTGAGAGCTTCTTAAGTTTCAGAAAGTGACAGGTGATTGGGAAAGATCGGTGAGCAGGCTAGAAGCAATCCTCAACCTTACAGGGCTCCCAGTCTAGAATGGACATTTACACTTGATCTGAGCCAAAAGGCCGAGAAGTAACCGCACAGGCCAAAAGAAGGGGTAAGCCTCTGTCTGAAGATCACTTTAGCATTGCCCAAGCTGAAAGGATTTAATCTTGAAAAGCAATTCTGGAAGGAAGGTGGAGTAAGAGACAATGATAAGGAAAGGGGAGACAGCAAGAGGGAGAGAAGAATTGATGTGCAGAAAAAGACACCCAGAGTTTGTATTTATGGACTATAGTTAACAACCGGGGCTATATAGTTATACTTTCGTCTAGCCATGTCACATCTTTGGTTCACGGGGATTTTGTAGAAGTCCTAGTGCTGTGCCTAAAATATAGGATCTGATCTTACTGAAATGCAGAAAGGAATGCTAGCACAACAAATCTGGTCCATTAATCCTCTTAAGGACTGTCTTTTATGTACACCTATTAGTATTAGATATCCTTGGAAGTGACCGACAACCTAAAGTAGTCACTGATAAACTAGATAAAAGTCGATTTCTCATGCACAGATATGTAGCTCAGGCTTGGAATGGGGCCCCACTCTCCTGAGGGAACTCCTCTACCTCTGTGTGTAATGTGTGTTTGCTCTAGTATTTGAGAATATTCTTAAATACATTCTGCTATTAAATTCTGCTATGGAGGACCAAGACAAGACCAACAAATTGGATGGATAAACCTCATAAAAATGTTAAGTAGGTGATTCCTAAGTAAGAAACTTCTAAGAAGTGTTAAATAGGTAAGCAAGGAATTTTATGAGATGTAGACATAATTCAAAAGCTGTATTTACCAAAAATCATAAAGTAGTTGCCTGGAAGACATGTTACACATGGAAAAGGAAGGAGAGCTCATGTGCTACACGGAGATAGGAAGAGAGGAAAGGACCACGAAGTGCCAAATATTTGTGAGACACCGAATATTGATGACGTACTCAGTATTTATGTAGTCTTAAATCGTCCACCCATTGGTGACTTCTACGTTAGCCGCATTTGCGCTCTGCGGACAACACCCACATAAAAGGTATGGCCGCTTGGGAAGTCACTGTCAACCTACACGGGAGGCCATGTGCCTCAGAAATGGCCTGCCTCGTAGTGTATTTGAAGACACTACAAGCTAGACTAACATGTAGGTAATTTCCTACCTTGTAGTCTAAAATGTCTGCTCCAGCTACAACTATCTCGTTCACGTTCCATCCTGAAGGAAGGAGAAAAGGGTAAAGAAGCACCCCCACCATTAATGAAATCCTGAGAATGGTGTAATTCTGCCTGCTGACATACCAATTGGCCACAAATAGTCAAGGCCACACCAGCCACAAAAGGAGCTAAGAAAGGAAAACCCCTTTCAGGGGACAACTGTGTAGCAGCCCTGCCACAGCTCATATAAGTAGGTAATTATAAATTATAAATAAGACAAGAAGGAAACTGATGATTTCTTACATCTATAGGAGGACACTGGAGCTTCCTGGTGCAACAGAACTGAATTATAAATATTGGCAGCACTTGCTTCAGTTGAGAAGAAAATAAAATGATACAGCTCTAGTTGGAATCACATTTTCCACTTCAGATGAACAGTGCTCAACACCATTGGGAATCGCAATCGAGCTAGGTGCAATCAGCGTAAGGCGTGAGAGATGAAGAAAACACACCGGAAAGTGGAGGAAGGCCTCCATGGTCAGACCCACAGCCCGTGAATAAGGTCAGGCTGAGTTTGGAATCCAGTGACAGGCCACTGGTTTTAATGTACATTCCAAGTCTGACCATCTGGTATACAAGTTCAAGTCTTACCTGCCTCACTTCTGGCTCTTATGCTGTCTTTTATCTTGGTGGCTTTTCTCAACTCATTCAACTCATTTTCTCAACACATTCTTTATGAGCTAAACCTCCTATAAAAGTCAGTCTTGCCCTTTGGGCAGAAAAGCTCTGTTCTCTCATTTCGAGATACCCTGCTATGTTCCTCAAAGCCTTCCATGTCTGAAATGCCTACCTCACTCAACTGGATGTATTGTTCAGTCAAAGCACAAAGGTGAACCAGGCATGCTCTCTGTTATCTAGGACATGAAATATTATTTCATAGAGGAAATAACAATATACACAACTACAGAACAGCAATAAAATATGCTTAAAACTGGAGGGATTTGAGGCCCACTACCTGGGCTAAAATTTGTTCGTCATTTACCAGCTGGGTGACCTTAGGCATTAAGCAGAACCACTCTGTTGATGTACTCTTTCTTCTGAAAAATGATGACAGTGATTATTTGGAAACTCAGATCTCTTACTTTTTATTTTAAATAAACCATCACATAATTAATATGCTTTCCTCAACTACTGATGTCCTTGAATCAGGCTGGCAGTCCTCCATGAGATTAACACTCATCTATTCCTGCCCTCTCCTCTTGGATCACCATCCAAATTGGGTATGCTCAGGAACCTGGACTCACACTTTTAAAAAATATTAAAAACATGTGAATCAATACTGAATTTACCTAGAAACTCCAGCTTGAGAAAACAGAAGACCCTGGTTCTAACTAGTTGGTTATCAGACCTGTGGCCATGACCCTGAGTTTGCTCCCAACTTAGGATCTGTTCAGTCATCACTGTAGCTTCTCTGTGGAATGATCTTCTCACAGGTGTGTGCAGACCTGTCTCCCTCCCAGGCATCCTACCTCTGCTCAGTGGCATCTAAGTGGTGAAGTCACACCCCACCCCACCCCCACATTTAAAACTACAACACTCCACCACCCATTGCTCCCACTCCCTGGCAGTCCTTAATCTTCTTGGCCTGATTTCTTAATCTCTTTAATCTCTTTACCTACAAAAATACTGTTTTTGTTTATTTCCTGTCTCCCACAACCAGAACATTTGTGAGCTCTACACAGGGAACTTTCCCCATGGTTGTCCCTGCTCTATTTCCAACACCTAGAACAATGCAGGGCACATAGTAAGCGCTCAAAAAGTTTTGGATGGATGGATGGATGGATGGATGGATGGATGGATGGATGGATGAAGTAAAATTAAATTATGCAGGTAACACACAAAGGCCCTCCATTCTCTAGCACCAGAGATAAAGTCCACGATTGAATTATTCAAATGAGCCGCTGTGTGAAGTAGTTCACCTCACTATGCTTCCGTTTCTTCAGCATTGTATTTGGGCTACTAAGGGTCTCTAACCCATAGAGTTATTTTTTTTTAATTTTTATTTATTTTTTGACAGAGAGAGAGGGAACACAAGCAGGGGGAGCGGGAGAGGGAGAAGCAGGCTTCCCGCGGAGCAGGGAGCCCGATGCGGGGCTCGATGCGGGGCTCGATGCGGGGCTCGATCCCAGGACCCTGGGATCATGACCTGAGCCGAAGGCAGACGCTAAACGGCTGAGCCACCCAGGCGCCCCTCTAACCCATAGAGTTATTGTGTGGGTTAAATAAAATGATCTATGTAGGCACCAATTTACGCTTTTGAATTAATGAAGTCACGGCTCTTTTACCTACACGATTCCCACAGCAGGTGTTAACACCTCTCTTGGGCAAATGACATAACAGACCCAGAGCTGCTACCCAGAGCCTGCAGCTGGCCATGGGAGGGCTTAGATTCTGCCAGAAACACCGCTGCTGACTGACCCAGTGAAGTACAGATACAAGAACCTCTTGCCTAGACCCTGAAGACACTCGCATTTGTAATCCTGAATTTGCAATCCAAATAAATGGAGTGTATTACCTGAGGGTAAACATTTTGCCTGTGGCAAAAACAAAACAAAACAGAGAAACTAGTGAATCTGAAGTACTGGGATATGAATTGCATTTAACGACTAACTTTCAGAGATTTTCTCTTTTCTAACTATAAAGGCTAAAGGTCAGCTTCTATTTTCAAAGTCTGGATAGCACAAAACAGGAAGAAAACTGGGCCTTAATTTTTGTACTGGAGCCCAGTGGAGACTACCTAAATATAGAGCAGAACCTGCTAATATGAGAAACAGACACGGAAGTTCCCATGTTCAAGTCCTCTCAAGGCCTTACATCTCAGAGCTAACATCTACAAGCCCCTGCTTGATCTGGCTTCTCGTTGTTTCTCTGCCTTCAGCTCCTGCAACTGTACCCCACCCATTGCAGTATCTTCTTAGTGGCCTTTCCTAAATCTCAACTCCCAGGACACTCCTTATTCTAGCTTTATTTTTCTCCTTCTTACCCTTTAACATACCACACATATCTATCTGATTTATTGTCTGTCCCTCTTCCATTCACATGTAAACTCCACAAGGGCCAAGAACTCTGTCTGGATGGTTCTCTGAGTATATTCCCAATGCACAGAACAACATCTAGCACATTGCAAACTCTCAACAAATATATGTAGAGTAAATACAATTTTTAAGTTCATCCATGTTAAGACATGTTTGTTGGGGGAAATCGTCATGGCATCATAAATAGGTTTTTAAATGGTGGACATGTTTTAAAATATTGAGAGCGAAAATGATACCATTTTCTTTACAATGATCAAGGCAGTGGGGTGGACAAGAAATGGATAAAACCTATTTGGCTAGTGATGATGTGGAAGCTGGGTGCAGGGTACATAGAGTTTATGAAACTAATATTTCTACTTTCATATATTCTGAAATGTCACATAATTTAAAAAGTTAAAAAAAAATGAATAGCTAGGGGGAAAAAAAGATAAACTGATAAATGGCCATGGAAATAAACCAGGTGAATACCCAAACAGGACTTTGTGCCCATGGGAAGATAGGCAGGTCTCCACAGTTTGTCTGCCAAGAAGCCCAGAAGGTTCCTCTTTGTAGCATCCCTTAAAACCTGCCATTGTCAATCGCCCAAAGCAGGTCCATCTCTCATCATAGACTCACATGAGCCCCATCCTCAGAAATTGCTACAAAAACCAGATGCTGCTTGATTCATTGCAGTGATTAACGGTCCTCGAGCAAGCCAGAAAATCCTCTCTTGCTTTCTCTCTGAAAGCAAGCTACAAGGAAGCCTGATTCTGTAGATAAATCCTTGCTAAACCTGTAGTCAAATCACACAGGAGCTAATCACAAGACTGGTATTTATGTAGCATCTGTTCTCGACCCTAGCAACCTTTTGGAAGCACCTGAGTTTTAGTAATTACTGTTGCCTGGGATCACCCCCACACTACAGTTAAAATGCTACTGATTGGACCCCAGGCAAAGATACTTTTTATAAAACATCCAATGGTCTGTAATGTGCACACAATATTGAGATCACTTGATCTCTCTTAAACCAAACTATCTTCCCGGGTTCTTCTTATGTGCAATTGATTTAGAGAACATTTAATTCTGTGACATAAACATGCAGTTTACAAACGTTTATTCCTGCAAGAGTTCACAGGTTGCTTTCTTGATGAGGCCAAAAATATTTTTTTAAATGGGTTTCTAAAAACTAGTTGTTAGTGTCAACCACCAACCTCCTGGGGTGAACTTGGTACAATGTAGATTCTGACTAGGCCTGGGTGGGGTCTGACAATCCAGCTCTAGCAAGCTCCCAAATGATGTCCAAGCCACTGGTGGGTAGACACTTCACGAGTCAAAGACCGCAGAAGCCATCATGACTGCCTTAGGCTCTGCTACCAATAAGCTCATTAGAAATCCTGACTAATTATTCAGAAGTTAACTACCAGCCTGCATTCTTGTGTAAAAGGTTGTTTTATAGGAAAGCCCAAACTTTCACTTTTAACTATAGAGATGGGAAGTGAGCAAATTGAGGTTTCAGACATTGCCCAAATTTGTGGGAACTTACCAGGGGTAAATAGCAAATGCACAGCCACCTCACCCAAGTTCAAACTTTTGTGGATGAAGAACCTCACCTTCCACCTGTGCCCAGATAACCTTAGAATTATCTGCACTAGCAAGCCACCTCAAGTGGCTCGTCCCCTTCCCAGGTCAAAGCGCCTCTCAGACTGCCTGAAGGTACTTACATACGGTTTCCTCGGAGCCGGAAGTTACTATCTTCAGGCGACTTCTGCATAGCTCTTCCAACTCAGGATGGAAAGGGAAAGACTTAGGACACAGCTGAAAGCTCGGTAAAGGCCCACAACCCTGGAACCAAACGCGGTCCACCAACCTTAGTACCTTGAAGAACTCTCCTAAATACCGGGAACCAACTCAAAAAGAACCTTAAAAAGCATGAATACCTCGAGACGGCTCTATCTTGATTCTATTACAGCAATTTTAGGGAAAAAGTGGGTGGCTCTTAGAAGAGCCTTTGAGCTAATTGAATCAGTAGTGGGAAAGCTTTACGCCCTCTCCCCGCGGATGCGGCGCGCCAGCTGGATGTCCTTGGGCATGATGGTGACGCGCTTGGCGTGGATGGCGCACAGGTTGGTGTCCTCGAAGAGCCCCACCAGGTAGGCCTCGCACGCCTCCTGCAGGGCCATGACGGCCGAGCTCTGGAAGCGCAGGTCGGTCTTGAAGTCCTGCGCGATCTCGCGCACCAGCCGCTGGAACGGCAGCTTGCGGATCAGCAGCTCGGTGGACTTCTGGTAGCGCCGGATCTCGCGCAGGGCCACCGTGCCGGGCCGGTAGCGGTGCGGCTTCTTGACGCCGCCGGTGGCCGGCGCGCTCTTGCGGGCCGCCTTGGTGGCCAGCTGCTTGCGCGGGGCCTTGCCGCCCGTCGACTTGCGCGCCGTCTGCTTCGTGCGAGCCATCACAGAAAAAAAAACAGCTAGGGGAAAAGGCTAAACTGACAAGCTGGCCTGAAGACGTTGCCTTTATATATACTCAGAAACCTTCTGATTGGTCTTGCATTTTTCAAAAGTCCCGCGCAATAAAACCATTGGCTAAAGAGCGAACGACGTGATTGGTGGATTATTACAGCCTCCGATTGGATGAATTAGTCAACATTCCAATCCCGTCTTTGTTATAGTCAGCGATCCAAGAACTTAATATTCTGCTTCAACTCATCTCAAATTCTAAATAAATCACCTGGGGATCGGAGAAGATGCCAATTCTGGAAACCTACGTAATGGGGCCTAAGATTCCGACGGTCAGGCTTTCAGAACTTAGGTATATTTTGTTTTCTCAGATGGTTACTTTTACTGAACTGGACCTTGAGTCGCCTGGACTGCCCCTTATCTCCACTCCGGGAAACCACAGGTAAAACGCCTGGCCCGGAGACGGCGGGCGATCACCACTGTGCAACAAAGGGTGACTGACTTCCTTATGGTGGCCAAATAGTATTATGATTCATTCAATTCAGCTTTGAAAACAGCCCGCGCGGACTTCCGGTCCTATAGTTCTGCTTGTAACGTCCTCAGGCATTCCAGGCTACCACCCCTTCCACAGCGGCTCAGTTAACTACCCCCTTACTGCTGGTTTCCGTACTCTAAACGTTCTCACTTCCTAAACACGATTGAAGGAACACGGAGTGAACCTGTCCACATAGAAAACGAGGTTTTGTAAACGTTACCATTATTGTAACTAGGTCTCACCTGTATTAAACCCTTGCTTACCATGCACTAAGGTTTTCCTGTGTAAGTCGTTTCCCTGGGCCACCTTCAAAGTGACGTTAAACAGCGAAGATAAACTGCAGTAAGTGAACTGTTTTTTGACCAACCACAGACTAACCGCTTAAAGGTTATGTAATGGGAAAGCAGAACTTATTCGGTTACAAGCTTATTTATGTGAAAATGTGGACGGCTCTGAAAAGAGCCTTTGGGTGAGGAAAAAGGTTTTAATTGGACACACCGGTATTCAAGTAGGTTCACTTGCCCTTGGCCTTGTGGTGGCTCTCGGTCTTCTTGGGCAGCAGCACGGCCTGGATGTTGGGCAGGACGCCGCCCTGCGCGATGGTGACGCGGCCCAGCAGCTTGTTGAGCTCCTCGTCGTTGCGGATGGCCAGCTGCAGGTGGCGCGGGATGATGCGCGTCTTCTTGTTGTCGCGCGCCGCGTTGCCCGCCAGCTCCAGGATCTCGGCCGTCAGGTACTCGAGCACGGCCGCCAGGTAGACGGGCGCGCCGGCGCCCACCCGCTCGGCGTAGTTGCCCTTGCGGAGCAGGCGGTGCACGCGGCCCACCGGGAACTGCAGGCCGGCCCGGGATGACCTAGTCTTGGCCTTGGCGCGCGCCTTGCCGCCTTGCTTGCCGCGTCCGGACATAGCTAGAGCAGTGATAACGTGACAAAAGACAGAAAAAAATCAAGCATTCTACAAGGCGATAAACTAGACTATTATACTCTGCAGCGGTTTGGTAAAGCAGCCTATGCAGTTGGCCGAACACAAATTCCAGCCAATCAAAAGGCATATCCCAAACAACAATGCTCCTAATTTGCATAGGGCGTGTACGGTTGCAAGGTCAAATTATTTAAAGTTGAAATACGGAAAAGAGCCAATGAGAGTTTAGGATAATCAAGGAGCCTATCAGGGGTTAAGATACTGAAGAGACCAATCAGAAATCGTTATTCTGCTATCCCTAATTTGCATACACACCAAATAAATAGGAGGGCGCTCGACCGTGGGCGTACATTGTTCGTTTTGTTTTAGGGGTGTTAGTTTGGTGCAATGCCTGAACCAGCTAAATCAGCTCCGGCCCCCAAAAAGGGGTCCAAGAAGGCGGTGACCAAGGCGCAGAAGAAGGACGGCAAGAAGCGCAAGCGCAGCCGCAAGGAGAGCTACTCGGTGTACGTGTACAAGGTGCTGAAGCAGGTGCACCCCGACACGGGCATCTCGTCCAAGGCCATGGGCATCATGAACTCGTTCGTCAACGACATCTTCGAGCGCATCGCGGGCGAGGCGTCCCGCCTGGCGCATTACAACAAGCGCTCGACCATCACGTCGCGGGAGATCCAGACGGCCGTGCGCCTGCTGCTGCCCGGGGAGCTGGCCAAGCACGCCGTGTCCGAGGGCACCAAGGCCGTCACCAAGTACACCAGCTCCAAGTGAACATTTGCAACAGCACCAGTGACATCAGGCTCTTTTAAGAGCCACCCACATTGTCACTTAAAGAGCGGTAACTTTCACAAGCTTAGTGAAAATGGCAAGAACATCCATCCTGACATTCGAGGACTAACAAAACTTGGTGACACAAATTGCCCCCGGCATGAGCGGATCACCAACGAATGAATCTGTAGGCAATTGGGACTGGTGCATTCTGCTTCGCTACTCGGTAGCTACTGAGAGCAATATTACCTAGGGTGCCCCCACCTCGAGAGCTTTCATTTTCGTTTTCATTTTGTCCTCTCCCATTATCCTGGGTCGGGAGTTAAGTAGGGGAAAACAGTCCTGGTTTTGAGTAGCCCTAAGTCAAAACAAGCGACAGGAGTTAAGCATTCTTCAGAAAATGAAACTACCTTTTTTTTTTTTTTTTTTTTTTTTTAGCTTGCTTTGAGCTTGCGAGAGGCTACAGCGGCATCTCCTGGAACAATGTACTCTGTGACTTGCATTTCTAAACCACAGCGGGTCTCTGCCAGTCTCTCAAACCCGACGTCCTTCAAATTCCAATAAGTTCTTCACCGCACATTTTTAACGTAGTTAAATACTGACTCTTCGCAAGGTCAGGGAACTCATCCACTAGTTTTCTACCGGGCTTAATATACAAGGGTTTAAGAGACACTGCCTACAACTGGATAACCTGAAGGGGGAGGAAGCAAATGAAAGTCTCCCGTCTGTGATTCCTGTCGGGGGGGGGGGGGGGGGGGGGAGTGAAGATTGGGATCTGCCTCAATCCATCAGCCTCCACTCTTCAGCCCTAAGGAGTCCCTAACCCTAAACCTCTCCGTGTCCTGAATGATCTTGTCCTCAGTCACATCTTCATTCCCTAGGATTTTATTTTAAAGGAGAAGATTTAAAAGGAATTAACGTTCGTGTGCTTGTCCTTCGCCTGATTTCAGCCTACAATCACAATCATACAAAATGGAATCTCCCATTTTACAAGTGAATGACCTGAGGAATTAAGGTTAAATAGCCCCTGAAATAAATAAAAGTGGGATCTGAATCCCTAAGGACTGTTTCCACACTATTTTTCTCAAGCTATAGATGCCAGTTGCAGTCATAGGATTGGGTAACAGGCTCAGAGGAAAAATTGAGCATTAGAATAAAATGAAAGTAAAACTGACCAGGAGATAACACTTGTTCTTTGATGCACAGCACAGTTCTTAAACCAAAGTATATAGCAAGATATGGAAGCTAAGGATCACCAGACAACAAATTTTTCTGAGCGCTGTGCTGGAGAGGGAAAACCATGAGCATTGGTGGTGTAAAACAGAGCTCAGAAATCTGTTTCTACCTATTAGCTACATGTCTTCATCTGCAAATACCTACATAGTAGATTTCTGTGCACATTAATTTAAGTGATGTGGGAAGCAAAGGCAAGAGAAAAAATTAAATTTCCTTACTTCCCACAGCCCATTGACAAGTCCTTGAAACAGTCAGAGTGACCTTCCTTTGGGAGCTCAGCTGCCTTGATGTGGACACTTTGCTAAGGGCAAAGGCAATCTTAGCTTAACATTATCCCAACCCCCCAGGATCCTGTAAGTCTACTTTAACATATAAAAATTCCCTTGGAACCTTCCTTTAGCTCTACCCCCACCAAGATATCTGTTAGCAGTCATCCTCCAAGCATACGATCCACTGATACACATCTGAAGAGTCTCATGACTGAGTTTTTACTAAGTAGTAATAAATGACCTTTTCCTAACAATAGCTAGCTCCCTCAAGGTCCTGAAAACCTTCTTTCCAAAATGCCTTGAAGGCTTGTGCTGTCCTAACCCCCTCCCAACTTGAAAGCATATAACGGGACACGCCTCATGGCCCCAGCACAGCTCTCTAAAACCACCTTTTTGCACCAAAGACATCTCAAGAATTCCTTCTTGGCCATCGGCTCTGAACCCCAACCATTTCCTACATAAGTGACTCAATTTTGTAATGGGGCTCGTGAAGAAGATTCTCTAAGCCCCACATGTAATTAAGGCATTCGTTTCTCGCTCCCCAAAAAGCTAATTTTAAGTACATTTGAAAACAATACATGAAAAGAAATATACAAACAAGCATGGCTTAAGGAGGAATCCCTTAGGACACGATACAGTCCTGACGGCCTATTTCAATGCTAAATTTGGGCCAATTTCTTAAACCTTTGGTGAGCATTTCCTTACCTCTAAAATGGTAATAATAATTAGTAACCACCACATGGCATAGCTGGATGATCAGTAAAAGAACACAGTAAAGCATTTAGGACAGTACCTACACAGAGGAAAGTCTTCCAAAATATCAACTGAAGCTAAAGCCTCTGGTTGAAGTGTTAGGGAAGTTCCTGCCCATATTAGAATCTGAGTCGAGGGTTTGAACAAGGCAGTAGGCCACAATGACTACCAGCAAGTGACACGAGTTAGGGTTCCTTGTCTGGCAGTGTGAGCAATCTAACCCCCTTCTAACAGTCTAAACCCCTCCTTAGAACATCTCTTTACCCTGAACTCTTTTGAGGACAACCTAGGCTGTGAGACTTCCCTGCCTCTGCCTGCCAATTCAAGCAACATGTGACTCATTTTCCAGGGACTTCCTCATGTCTCACTAGTACTAAGGGTACCTCATTTAACAGTAAGTTGGGCTACAAGGAAGGGACCCTGGAAATTCACACAAGAGCTGCTTAGGAGATTTTTATTCCTGTTTTGTTCCCATGCCTCCAATTCTCTTTGCCTAACCTCTCTGTAATGTCTGGCCAGAATGAAGAATCATCTTCAGAAAAGCAGCTGCACTTTGAAAGCAAGAAGAGAATCACAAAATTGCCATCCACAATCATTCCCAGACTAGGGAAATCTAGGGCCACCCTAAAGATTGCTGTGGTATTGCCAACAACGTAGAAGACTCCTATCAGTCTCACTTCATAAAAGAACTATCCTTTTATATGCCCAAAGGAAATTCAGATACCCTCAAAATAAGAAATCTTTATACCAAATAAATGACCCACAGTCAATAAACATTATGAGCAAAATGTAAACCTTTATCACAGTAAGTCACTGGGGTTTGGTGACTGTTTAATCACAGCATAATTAGCCTAAATGGATCAACACAGTATTATACTGCATCTAGTTTCTGGGAATTGCTTTTTTTTCCAGGGAACAATGAGTTGCCATGTTGTCACATGGGGCTAAAGCTCATTTGTTTTCGTAGCAATGTTAGATTGTGTGATTATGTCTGATTATGTCACAATTCATCTATCTATTGGTTGACATTTGCTTTGTTGGTTGCCTTAAATTTATAGGATGCTTTGCTGGAATATAAAATATTAAGTAGAAATTTCATTGTGTGGATTCCTTCATAATATTTTATTAATAACATATGTGTGGATTACTTATAATAATAGAATATAAGGGTTAAAACAGGAAGTGAGTAGATATAATTATAGGGGAAAGAGGAAATCTGCTTTAACCCTGCCACCCTCTCTGATTAGCTGAGCTGATTCAGAGACACTTTCTTCAATGTTGAAATACTGAACAAATCAGTAGTTTCCAAATGCTCATCTATGGCTAGTATTAGTCCGTGCCAGTTTTCTCTATTCTCTATTTTCCCACTCTTTGTAAAAGTGAGAAAAATACGGTCAGTGCAGTAAATTTTCGTTAATATTAAAAGTTGTATTAAAGGTTAATTTACACGTTTTTGATCTTGTCAATTCCTCACAAATGTATTGTCTTCTAAAAAGTATAAAAACTGCCTGCCTCAGTCATTTGTGTCTCAATTTCATTATTGGGCCTCTGCACGCAGAAAATAAAACTTTGGATTTTTTTTCTCCTGTTCATGTCTCATGTAAATTTTTAGTCCAGCTGGAAGACCTTGAAGGAAGAGGACTATTTCCTTCCCTACACTTAGTAATTTGGGGTGAAATATCCTGATGCCTGTATGTACAGGTTTTAAAAATGCCACTCATTAGGTAACATCCTTATCTACTTCAGGTTTTCAAACTGTCAGAAAATTTCGGGGGCTATGCTCAACACCTGCCAGGTCTCCCCGCGAGTGCATTTCCCCCAGGGCCGTCGGGACAACCGAGCCGGCGGGAAGAGCGCGGCCAGCCGGGGGCCGGGCGGGGCCGGCCGCTCCGCGGGGACTCGTCTTTGTTCCCCGGCCGCCGCCGCCGGCGCGCTCCCTTTGTCCCTCGCCCGCCCCGCCATCTTGGTCGCCGGAGCCCGGCGGGGGAGGCTCACCCGCTACCCGCTAACCGGGGGTCCCCGCTTCCTAGTGTTCAAGAGCCGAGCGAGCGCGATCTCTAACTCGAAGTGTCGAGGACGGAGGACGCTCCCTGGGAGAACAGACAACGCCGCGTGAGCTGCTCTGCCGCCATAAAAACGCCCCGGACGCGGCTTAAACAGACGCGAATGCGGCAAACCAACGACACAGCCCGACAATGAAGTGACCTCCCGGAGCTACAAAGCGATCAGATCAAAAAAGCGCCTCACGCCAAACTAACCATTTTTAACCCGTTTGGAACAAGTACTTAAACACAAATCACAGATTAAAAGGTAATGACAAATGATGCAGCTCTTTCATGAAGCAAGTGGGCGGCCCTGAAAAGGGCCTTTTGGTGTTTGGAAGTACGCGGGGTCCGCTGCGCTCAGCCCCCGAAGCCGTAGAGGGTGCGGCCCTGGCGCTTGAGCGCGTAGACCACGTCCATGGCCGTGACCGTCTTGCGCTTGGCGTGCTCCGTGTAGGTGACGGCGTCCCGGATCACGTTCTCCAGGAACACCTTGAGCACCCCGCGGGTCTCCTCGTAGATGAGGCCGGAGATGCGCTTGACGCCGCCGCGCCGGGCCAGCCGCCGGATGGCGGGCTTGGTGATGCCCTGGATGTTGTCGCGCAGCACCTTGCGGTGGCGCTTGGCGCCGCCCTTGCCCAGGCCCTTCCCGCCCTTGCCGCGGCCCGACATGACCGTAGCGCTGAAAGAGCTCGCGAAAAAAGCACGAAAGCCGTTGGGGGCAATCTCCTTATATGCGCGGATTGCGGACCTAATTGAAGACTGGAAGCGCGCACGCGGGAACGGCCGCTGCCCGGCCCCGCCCCTCGCGGCGAGCTGGGTGACGTCACGGGAGGCTGGGCCCCGGCGGCCACTCTCCCCCTCCCCCTCCGCCACCGTGCCCTCCGCGGGGGCAGCTAGAGCGGCCCGGGTCCCCCCCTGAGAACTTCGGACCTTTTTAACTGCGTCAGACTGAAGAAAGGAGCGTTTTGTGCGTGGCGTGGCGTGCCGTGTGCGATCGCGCCGCCGTCTGCGTTGGCCCGCGGCGCCCCCGGCCTTCCTGCGGCCGCGGACCGGCCCTTCCCGCCGCGAGCCTCGGCCCCGGGCTCACGCGGCCAGACGGCACCTCCATCACCAAGCCCGGGAGGGTGTTCTTCCCAAAGGCGAAGGCGGGCCTGGTTAGTGTCTCCGAGGCGGAAGGCTCGCCCGCCGCGCGGAAGCCCGTTCCTTACCCGGCTTTCCTCTTCCCTCCCCGTTGATTAAAGCTCGTCGTCATTCTCTCTCTTATATCCAGACACCTCTAGCTTCTGCGTCCGAAACCGCAACAGGGTGTTAATGTTTCCTTCTCTTCGCCTACGTTGTTCTCTCTTTGATTCTGGTGGAGATATTATTCCGAAGAGAACTAGCAGCTTGTGGCAGCCAAGGCGTTGAAGCAAACAGACGACCTCGCACGGGTTCTTCCAGTAGGAGGAATCGCCTCGGAACAGGGTTAAGGGTATTATTAGGAGAACTCTTTGCCGAAGAGCAGAGTGGCGCAGCGGAAGCGTGCTGGGCCCATAACCCAGAGGTCGATGGATCGAAACCATCCTCTGCTAGCACCTTTTTGCTAAAATTATGTAGCTTAGTTTCACAACATGGAAAGAAAATAGAGCCAGATTTGTTTTGTTTTGTCTAATTCTGGCGTTTAAATTATTTCCAGAAAATAAACGTGAAACTGTTCACATTCTCTAGAGATAAATAGAACGTCGGTAAAGGACACTCAGTTATCATTAATATGTCTTCCCATAATAAGCTTTACTCCTAGTGGTTGCCGAAGTGGTGATGCTGTTGTTGCCACCGGCTATCACGACCGTCTTCCTGTCCTGTGAAGCCGTGAAAACGCTAAAATAAGCCGAGCGTGGCGGTGAGGTCAGGGATGGACGTCCAGATAAGGAGTTTAATTTCCTTCTGTACATAATTCAGAAAGCACTACCTGTTAGGTAGTTGTGGCCATGGGGCTAAAGCGATAGACAAGAAATCTACTGGGCCATCCCGGCGCCAAACTTTTGCAACTCGAGAGTCTTAATCTTCGGAGTCAATAAGTAACAGTTTGAGCCAGAGTGCAAAGTTTTGGTGGCCAGGATTGAACTCTGACCTGAGAAAACCACTTATGTGGCCGCTGCTGGTAAATGTGTCTCTATGGCCTACCTTCCTTTACGATCTCTAACAGGACTGTTGTCTACGCTCATTTTTTAAAAGTGTATGTTTTACATATCTCTCAGAAAAGATCCCTATTCAGATATTATGTGTCATATACTGTGCTAAGCACTAAGAAAATATTTAAGTAGCCTACAGTCTAGCTTTCAAACAAATATGTATAAGAGAATAAGATATTTCTTTTAAAAGATTATACACTAAATGCAGTTGGGAATAAGGAAAAATGATTGTTCCTGGTAGCTCCACGATCACCCAGTAACTGGATGAATTGCTAGAAGGACTCCCATAAATGAACATATACTCAAAGTTAAAATTTATTACAGCAAAGGGAAAAGTGCAGACACAGCAGGAAAAAGATATACACAAGCAAACACCAGAGAAGTCTTTCCGGTCCTCCATCTTCATAGATGATCCACATTCTTTCTCTCCTGTTGTGAACTTGCAGGGACCAGTGAAGGCTGTGGTTTCCTTTAAATATGCTGACAACCTGGTTCATAGTGACCCACTGCTTCATGTACACAGGATAACATCATGACCTAGTAACATAGTGAACATTCCAGTATTTTAGTTCACAGAGTTTCACCAAGGGTCATCACCATGGCTACAGACATCTGTGAAAACTTGAGTAAAACAGATTTGCTGCCTTGCCTTTGCCCTGGCAATGGCCCAATTTGGGAAAGGTGGCAGATTTGGAGTCCAAACTAGAATGAGTAAGAAGTTGGCAGGTAGCCAAGAAGAGTCTTCTAGATAGAAAAATAAATAAATAACTACAAGGAGGCATAACAGTTAAGGGTTTCTAGAGAACTACAAAACATTCAGTGTGCTCGAGCATGGAGGTGAGGGAGATTGGAGGAGGAGGATTTGAGGAGAAAGGTAAAATGGCCGTATCTGCTCACCTCCCATTCACCCTATAGGTTAAGAAGGGATCCTCTGCCCTAAACAACACCAGATGGCCAGACACACCATGCTCAGCACTGGGCAGATGAGATGGGTAGCTGTTTACCGTCACATATACTCACAGCCTGGAGGGGGAGGCCACCACGTGCCACGCAAGTTGGCTCAGGTCGCACTCCTGAGTAGAGTGACCAGCAAGGGCTATGGGAGGTAAGCTTTGTAGCAGACAGAGAAAAGGGTGACCCTGGTTTCCTCCAAAAGATGGAATTGTCTTATTTTAATAGCTTCCAGGACCAACAGGGAGGTGAACCCATTAGGTTGAGGGGCTGGGATGTACCTGGTCTGGTTGATAGGGGAATTAGCCAGATAGAGGGCATGTCCTGTGAGAACAGGTGAATTCACAGGACTGTTTGGGGGGTCCTGTGAGGCTCAAAGATGTCAAAGGAGCCCTTGAAATTTTAGGTCTTACAATATAATCCTGAGTTGTGGCAGAAGAGATAGGGAAAGGGACAGTCATAAGGAAGTGAGTATGCAGTGCAAACAGGTTTCGATTTTATTTTTCTATGGGCAGTAAAAAACCATCGCCAAGTTTGATCAAAGGAGTAATATGATCAAACTTCCTAGCCAGAAAAACAATCTCTGGAGTCTTCAAGTTTGTGGTCTGGGCTTTGATCGTGTTTTTATTTTTGTTTTTTGTTTGTTTTTATTATAAGCTATACAATAATGTCTTTTATAATGTATAGGGTTTTTAAAAATTATTTCTTCAACCTCTCCATATACAGACAAAAGTAAGTGTACTAACATATTGGAAGTTGCAAATTTGATCATTGCCAAGAGAATAGAAAATTATCCCTACAGCATGCTAAACCAGGAGGCCAATTCATCTGCCCACCTCCAAAAAATATGCCGATGAACATGATAGACGGATTGACCCCCCCCCCAACTTTCATTCGCCGCCATTCCATAACCAGGCCCATATCAGGAGCACATTTCTCGTCAACAATCATTAACTGTCCAAGGCTCTCATCATGATCTTCTGCTACAGGTATCTGGGATATCTGTCTCTTAGGTATCACCAGAAAACATGTTGACACTTGAGGGGAAATGTCATGGACACCAAGACACCAGTCATCCTTAAAAATTCTTTTGGCTGGAGATCCTTGCCAGTGATCTTCCTGAAGATCGTGTCTCCCTCCACAGGGCTGGGTGACTGAGCCTTGAGGATCTCCTCTTACCACTTACCCCAACAGTACCCATGATGGTTTAACCACCATCTTCTTGCTTCCAGGGAGAGAGGAAGAGAACAAGTCCATATGCAGATTTTTTTGCAGGATAAAAGAATCTTTTAGTTAAATAATCCCCACATTAAAAACGATTGCAAAATTCAAAAATATATGTATTTGAGAAATTCAGCACATTTTTACTGAGCTCCTACTATTTGCCAGATGTAATTCTGTGGACAGGGAAAGAAAGACTATGTAAAAGACCCCATTTCTATGCTCCAGAAGCTGCTAATTTAACCTATCATGAATGAACCAAGAGGGCCAAAGCTCCCAAGGTCTGGGATTTAAGAAAATTAAGGTACTGCGATATGTGTAGATAGTCAACATTATCCTCAAACAAGCTACACGAGGTCACACAGATTCACTGATAAACTCGAAAGAAGTCATCTAAAATATAAGTTGAAATCTCTATCACTTTATTGGGCCAAGTACTCTACAGAACATTATAAACTCTATAAATATCTTGTCCATAGAATGAGTATATTGCAACACATTTTTGTGTTGAATCATCTATTAACTGTAAGAATTGCTAACAGTCATAATTTTTGTAATCCTATTATAGTGTTTATTTCTTAAGATATGGAAGCTTCAGATAACATGAATGACCCTAGACCCCTCTATACACCTCCTGAAACGCCAACCAAAGATTGCTCTTCTTCTCCAAACAGAGACACACCGGGAAAAGTGCTCTGATGTCACATTACAACAATCGGAGAGAGTCCCAGACGAGTATGAAAAGGGGACCCTGCAGGTATCCATGCAGGACAGCGAGAAAGACAATCGTGGGATGCTAAGACTGCCTCTGGGCGCGGTTTGCATGATAACTGTCCAGGAGGACCTTCCAACTACCTAGAGTCTGAAAATAGTGAATATGGATGAGTATTTACAGGGAAGAAGCTCTGAGTTAGCTTATTTAAAAAAATATCCCCAGATGCAGACAATATGCAGTATTTGGGCATCTTTCAGGTGCCATACACAGCTTTTCTCCTCAGGAGTGGTAATGTCCATGACTTTTCTTCCCGTGGAGGACCCAAGACCGAAATTGCCAGTTCCTACCTTTCACGAGGCCCGACTCCGTGGCCCCAAATAACCCTGGTAAGCTCCTTTCCTTTTTTTCAATGACTAGAAGCGCGGGCGGCCGGGGCGCTATTTGACAACTCAGGACCGGCCAGAAAGCTCATTATACTTTCTAAGGGCTGCAGCGAAGACTCGTACCTGGCGACCACGTGGCCTAACGGATAAGGCGTCTGACTTCGGATCAGAAGATTGAGGGTTCGAATCCCTTCGTGGTTAGTTCTGGTTTTTATGCGTTCCCCAAAATTGCCATATTTCACATGGTGGGAGGAATCACCTGGTATCTGTTT